CTGAACTTCAGTCTTTCACCTGTAATGGAAAATATCAAATATTCAAGATCAAATGATAAAGTTCTGTTTGTTTAAAGTAGTGCTTGCATTTCCATAATTTTATTAAACGAATTCGTTTTCACTGGCTGCCTGCCGTAGCAACTAACGGAACTAACAAAAGGCTTAACTCCGTTTCGTTGACAATCAGCCGTAGATGAAAGACGTCATGCATGGCTGATTGCAATAAAACGGAGTTAAGTCTTTTTTCAATTTAGCTTGTTGTTACGGCAGGCAGCCAGTGAAAACGTATTCGTTTAATAAAATTATGGAAATGCGAGCACTACTTTAAACAAACAGAACTTTGTTATTCCTAGCTCATTTTTCCTGACTGAGGTGTCATATGAAAGGGCAGAAACTCAATTTTCTAGAAATGGGATTTTCTCTTTGAAATTACCCCAAATTAATTTCCGGTTTCCTCTCTTCAAATTCATTTTAATCACTCATGCGTGAAATACACATTACATGAGTTGCATCAAATGAAAGAAGAGGATCTTAGTATTCCAAATATGTGTCATTTATCAATTATAATTGTTATTTAGGTATGATGAAACATCGATCATTCTCGGTTCCTTTTTTGTTGGGACATACTGTATATACGCATTTACTTTATCTGTGCAATACTATCACTGTTGTAATGTCATATTTTGCATGTTTGTTAAATATATATATATATATATATTATGTTTAATACATGTATAGGTCTATATGTTTGTTAGGGTTTAATGTACACCTAGCATTAAAGGCCCGGTAACACATAGACGACGCACGGCCCGAGCATTGAACATCTGTAAAGGCCCGGTCACACAGAGGGGATGCATGGGGAACGCACGGCCAGCGCATTGGAATTTTGCGATTTTGTCCAGTGCGTTGTCGTTCGCTAGGCGTGCGTCATCATTCGTTACTCGTTCGTCGAGCGCGCCGGACCCACGCTATGCATTCGTCGTCATTCGCTGTGTGCGTCGGGATTTTTTGAGCATGCTCAAAAGTGTGCGCGGAACTCGACGCATGAATGTACACGCCAAAGGCACGCCAGACATGCGCGAAGCGCGCTAGACCAGCGACAGACAAACGCGGAGCACACGCCCTGTATACGCACAGCGCGCTAGCTACACGATGCGCATTTTGTGTCAGCTAGCTATCTTTTCCAAAATCGTGACAAAAGTTAGGGACTCAGCCTTTTTCAATTTCCAATGCGCGGGCCGTGCGTCGTCCATGTGTGACCACCTCCGTTCAGAACGCGGTGCACGCGTAGACCATTCGTCCAGCGCGCTAGCAACACGCTGTGCATTCGTGGAAGTTGTTATCATGTGCGCTCTGTGTATGGTCTGTATGCGCACTGTATGCGCCATGTATGCGCTCAGCGCACTAGCAACACGCTATGCATTTGGACAAAAGTTGGGCGCACGACAACGCACTGGCCAAAATTGCAAATTTCCAATGCACTGGCCGTACGTTCCCCTTGCGTCCCCTTTGTGTGACCGGGCCATACAGGTCGTGTGCCCGACTTTTGTGAGGATTTGATAGAAGCTAACGAGCTGACACCGAATGTGTAGCGTGTTGATAGCGTGCTGCGCGCATACAGGGTGTATGCTCCACGTATGTCTGGCGTTGGTCTAGCGCGCACTGCGCGGGTCTCGCGTCCGTCTGGCGTGTACATTCAAGCGTCGAGCTCCGCCCACTTTTGAGCAGGCTCAGAAAATCCCGACGCACACAGTGAATGACGACGAATGCATAGCGTTGGCCCAGCGTTGGTCCAGCGCACTCGACGAATAAGTAACGCATGATGTAGTATTAGTAGTATTTATTTCCGTTTACAAATATAATAACAATGTATAAGATTCGGTGGTTTACCCACATTCAGCTTACCCGACATAGGAAAGCTGGTCTTCCATGGGGTCCGGAACAATCACATAAACAAAACAGAACATAAATACATATCTGAACAACAGTACACACATTTTGAGGAAAAAAGAAGAAGAACAAAAGAAAAAAAAATCATTTCATACGAAACAAGTAATCATAACAAGATAAGGAGGGGGACCATGTGCTACTGTAACAGGTCTGCAATCTTAGATCTGAATGTATTAACACTAGGGGACGATTTGATATGAGGAGGAAGTGTGTTTTAGGCCTTTGCGTTTCTATACTTGAATGATCTTTTAAGGTAATTTGTTCTCGGTTTGGTTAATTTTATTTGAGCTTCAATTTGGGAAGGGTAGGAATGGGTTCTCAACTCAAAATCATTTCTTAAATACTTAGATGATGACGAACACCTAGCGAACGAAATTGCAAATTTCCAAAGCGCTGGCCGTGCGCCTATGCAAATAGGGGACGCATGGGCATTGAAAATGTGCATTTTTTGCCAGTGCGTTGTCGTGCGTTAGGTGTGCGTCATCCTTCGTTACTCGTTCGTCGAGTGCGCTGGACCAACGCTGGACCAACAATATGCATTCGTCGTCATTCGCTGTGTGCGGTTAGATTTTTTGAGCGTGCTCAAACATGTGCGTGGAGCTCGACGCATGAATGTAAACGCCAAAAGAACGCCAGACATGCGCGGAGCGCGCTAGACCAACGCCAGACATACACGGAGCACACGCCCTGTAAACGCGCAGCGCGCTAGCAACACGCTATGCATTCGGTGTAAGCTCGCTAGCTTCTCCCAATATCTGACAAATTTCGGGCTCACGACTTTCATACTGCCGGTGAAATTCACTCGCTCTGGCGAGCCCTGGCCGGAAGTGAAGAATAATTGCGCAATCGCAATGTGGAAATTCAGTGAGAAAGAAACAACATTTGCGCGATGCGATAAACAAAAATCCATTGTACTTCTTTTACATTGTTAGTAGCCGGTTTTAAATATTTTTTTGTTCACTATTTGGTCTAATAAATAAATAATATTTAATAAACATTTTATCATATGTAAAAATATATATTAATGTTGGTTTTTTACAAAGCTTAACATTAATGTAAAATACAAAACTGGTTACGAAAAAACGCTCTTACACTGCGACATTTGATCATTTCCATCGGTGTTTTAAACGCTGTTTTCTCCCGAACCCACTCACAGTGGCAGTTTCATCGGTGTCACAGGATAGAAAGAGAATTTATCCTGCTCTTGAGCAGGAGAATGTAATCGCCTATTTCTCTTCCTTTCATTGGCTATTTCTCCTCTGTAGCATGCATAGTGGCCGTTTCATCGGATGCGTCCGGATACATCCGATGAAAATCAGGCCAGTTTGAAAGGGGTATCATAAAAGTATAATAATACGTTTCGATATGTATATACTTGTAGAATTATGAGAGAAATCAGTATTTAAAGTGACAAATTTATTTCATTTTTTTTTAAATGGGATGCACATGTATGTTTACAATCATTTCAATATCTTGATTGCAAATAGTTGTTAATTTTGAGCGCTTGTGTGTACTATTGAAATGTATAAATCTAATCCACTCCATTCTGGAGGAAAATTAGGAGAGCATGATTCGCTTCGACCCTTATACATGATTTCGTTAAATCAGAAGTATTACAAATCAAGATAAATATACTTTTGAAATTATTATTGACTGTATGTGAACCAATTTATTTAAATTGTAACCTCATGACTTTCCACACCGGACTATCGATTAAGATTACACATGGTATCACGAAACCATGATCTATTTTTTAAAAGTTTTTTTTCAAATAAATAGGTATTATCAATACTATTATCATATCATCGAAACAAAGAGGACCTTGTGTGTCTGTTTCAGTATCGTATACATTCGGAACAATATATTATTTCTGACATGACTTTTGACCCAATAGTTCTTTTAAACGTCATTCCATTATTTAAATTTTGTTTCAATTGGTTTCTGCTCAGCCAGCCGAATAACATTACTATGACAGGCTTTGTATAGAAATAAATGCCTGAATTGTGAACAATTGAAATTCCTAGCTGCGAAAAAAACATTGAAACATAAAAAACACGATTTAACAATTAGTTGAACGGTGCTCGTTTTAGTGAGTTTCATTGTGTCAACGAGGCAAACGATTAGGGTGCCTAAATGTCCATTTGCCAGATATTATGCAGGATAAGTATACACATATGCTCTGCTTTGAAGTACATATGTCAGAGGCTTATATTTTAATGTATTTCGATACATTTAGATAAACGCCAATGCATAAAAGGCTACGAATCGTATGCCAGTGAATGAAAATTGATCTTTCGGCTGGCTTGTATAAAGCTGACTGTTGATTTAATTTCTCATTTCAATAAAAAGAGTGAACAAAATGCAGCACATAGGAGGAAAGCAACTGAGAAAATAGTAAGATAAATATAACTTTCAAATTGTTAACCTCAGAGTGAAGAAAAAAGTTAAATAAACATTAAAGTATAAATCAAACTGACCAAATTAAATTGAAATACTAATCATAAAATATTTCAAAAAAGTTTAGTTGATTTAGACTTATAACACATGCGTTTGTTTAGCTTGGTTTCAGTAGAATGAATTCATGGTCGGGCTATGTACTCATAAACGAAACTCGTAGTTGTTGACAGATCGAAAGAACAACATTTTTTATGCTTTCAATTTATTATTTCGTTAGCCACCTTTACTAAAGGTTGAAACAGAGTCCGAATCATGTCTTGTCTGCAAGGACTGCATATTCGAGAAACCATATATTAACTATTGATTTATACGAGTGATCTTATGTTGCGATAGATCGGTCGATTCAAGATCCAATATCCATGATCGTCCACCTGACATTCTGTCTGAACTTAAAATTCAAGGATAAGGTTGTGTTTCAATTTGAGAATATATAATATGACTAATCAATATGTAATATGGCTAAATAAATACACATATTATTGACAAACATACAGTATAATGAGTAATTTTTATTCGATGGAAGAATTTTAAAAGAAGAAAATAATAACCAATCATAGTAATCATTATGCTGTTTTAAATTTAATTTACAGCATTAAACGATACTCCGTTGGCAAAATGAGTGACAACACTGAAGACGTTTTCGACGATATTTTGGAAAAGATAGCTGGGGATCTCTACGGGGATCTAGTCGTCGCTAATTTAGGAAAGAAACTAGGATTTAAACCTGCAGCTTGCGGTCGGTTCAATGATGAAAACGCGCGACAAGGGGGCTCACACATGGGCACTCTGAATATGCTTCGAAAATGGCGTCAAGGGCAAATAAAGAGTGAGCAAAGGGAAAATCTGAAAGCTGCCCTGGACAAAGCTGGCCATAAAGAAATGGCGGATGAATACTTGTCTGCTAATGATGTGGGTAAGTACAATTTTGAAGTGCCATTTAAACAATTTTGTTAATGCATAATTACTTTTGTATTGTTAGAGATTGAGAATAAAATCGCAATTGTACACTGTCAGAAATCAGTGATGACTGGATTCAACTTATGGTCAATGCCAACCGTTACGTAATTACGCTTCCGGAGAATTTTCAATTTTTAATATTATGAACTAAAACGAGATCCTTATATATATTGAGGTTTCGTATCAAACATTCGTGAAATCTAGGAAACAGTAATTGCATACACTTTGTTACGGATTGCACAGAACTTCCATTTTTGGTCATTCTTTAACAAAGCTATTGCAAATAAAATATCTTATAATTCTTTTGAAAGGAAATTTTGCTGTTGTGAGATATTTTCATTGAACTTGATTTATAATATCGTTAATTTGTACATGTTTATTTAACTGTCTATAATTTGTCTTATTTCAAAATTGAAAATTTTCTGAAAATGTCATTTCGTAGCGCTTGGAAATGACCTGATATATTGAATGTTCGTTGGCAGCATAATTCACATTCATTTCAAAGTCCTGTTCAGTACGGGTTTCATATATCGCAGGCAACTCGATCTATGCCAGATAAGTCTTCGTAGATACATGGTTTCTCTCTGATAACATACACCAGGTTCCCTATCAGGAAAAGTTTAACTTGCGTCCATTTAGTCTCAATCTCCACATTTATAGCGCTGAGAGACTTCTGTGGAAAGCGTTTTATAAGCACAGTTGTATTAGCATTATTATTATTATTTGGCATAACCCCGTACTTATTCTGTATTGACCTTCAAGATTTTTGAAAGACTGAATGTAATACCATTAAAATACTCACATAGTATGCAAATTCAATTCTGCGATGTAAAAATTAATACATCCTCTTAGGTTCTGTTTTGAACATATTCCAAATATTTGTTAAGATAAAAGTTCAATAACATCGAAAGCTGAAACAACAGTGATACCCAGTTGAATAATGAAGAGGGCCAAGTTCGTTCTTCTTATGAAGTAATGAAAGAATGAACATTTAGCTAATATTACACTCCCCTTGATCAACTCTTAAAATGAAAAGGAAACATTGCGTCGGGAAGGTACTAGCTACCTAAGTGAATCCTGATTTCTACTACTTTTTTTTTTATTGTAAGAGCAACAAGCAAGTCACGCATCGGCTGCTTCAACGGTGCAAGGTGCAAGCTCCCAGTCTTCCCAGGGGTATGTATTATTAAAAAAAAATCAAATACAATCTACTATGACTGTTTCTAAAATGCTATGGAGTAGTGTCCACGGCTCCTTAATAACTTTCCGGTATTGCCTTATTGATTATCATAGGATATATATCATGTATGGTATAACGTCTTATTGATGATTTCAAATGTTGACGAAGTCTTAGTATTGTTTTCTAAACATATCTCGAGATTCTCCAAATTCACAGTATGTTTCAAACACCCATACGGGGTCGGTACAGCACAAAGCACAGCTAAAGCACATTGTTGTGAATGGTGTACTAACCAACTCTTTAACCTACTCACATTTAAAACTTGATTTAAAACGTTGAGTCGCTTAGATGATGAAAGTGTAACGAATTACATACTTAGTTTGTACAATAAATCTAGCTTTTAAATGCATTTGTCGATATAGAAGTGACTCACTTTCAAATTTGAACTGCATCATCGGTTCTTTACAATTCTGTTTCAGCTGTCAAAAGAAGGCTAATTGTACTACTACTACTTCTTCTAATACTACTATTAAAAACGAAATCATTTTCAAAGAAAAATTATGACGTGATTTTTTGGTAATATACGAATGAAACGGCAAGACTCATAAGTCGATGGGGGTAAAGTCCGTAAAGTACTGGTATGATGTCAACCATTTTAAACAGTTGTTCAAACTGATTTTTTTCCTTTCTTATACAAAATATTTCCAAAACGAAAGAAATGGCCTTTAACTTTCAGACCCAGAACGCTCAAATGTAATGCCCACGAAGATAAAACAGAAATACATTGATTTTGTAGAATCTTAAAGGTATTACAAAGTTTTGGTATGGGGTCATGGATTTGGTTCAGATTAACATATGGAAGCATATGCGTTCCTACAATATTCATTGATCGTTGTCGCGGTTGTAATCGAGTCTAAAGTTATGAAATTATAAATAATAAACTCTTTATGTCGTATAGCTTCCTCTCATGGTCAAGATATTAATGTACCTATGAAACAATGTTTCTTGAATAAAATAGACCAATTTCCTATTTTCGTTTGGAAATTATATATCACAACAACATATTCTGAGATTTTCATGGTCGCAGCTACCATTGTACGGCCATTTATCAAAATTTACCGGGAGCACCGGTAAATTGTTATATTTAATATTTCTCGAAAACAGAAGTGTTTTAGGGGCTAATTTTTTTAGTGCTTATAATACATCCACAGGGGCATCCAAATTTACCAAAATTGTAAAGATTCACTATCCACTCAATATTTAAAATTTCCCAAAACTTTGTATTACCTTTAATAACTACTAACAAAAGGCACAGTAATTAAGGGCAACTTCTCAGTGTAAAGTAGTGTTTTCGAAGTCCCGACCAACAATGTTTGTTCCTCGGTAATTGAAATCGTTTCCATTTATACAGTGCGTCCCAGAAAAAACGAAACCGAGAAGTTTCGATGTTCTATCATAACTTAATCACAACTATAATTGGAAAGCTTAGAGTCTCCTCTTTCATGTGATGCTACTCAGATAATGCATATTTCACGCATGAGTGATTAAAATCAATTTGAAGGAAGGAAACCAAAAAGACATTTGGCGGGCGGTATCTGAATTTCGAAGGAAAATTCACATTTCTAGAAAGTTGAGTTTCTGCCCTTTCATATGACACCTCAATCAGGAAAAATGAGCGAGGAATGACAAAATTCTGTTTGTTTAAAGTAGTGCTTGCATTTCCATAATTTTATTAAACGAATTCGTTTTCACTGGCAGCCTGCTGTATCAATAAACGAAATTAACAAAAGACTTAACTCCGTTTCGTTGACAATCAGCCGTAGACGAGAGTCTTCATGCATGGCTGATTGTCAACGAAACGGAGTTAAGTCTTTTGTCAAATCTGCTTTTTGCTACGGCAGGCACCCAGTAAAAACGAATTCGTTTGTTAAAATTATGAAAATGTAAGGGCTACTTTAAACAAACAGAACTTTGTTATTCCTGGCTTATTTTTCTTGATTGAGGTATCATATGAAAGAGCAGAAAAAGAAATTTCTAGAAATATGAATTTTTCTTTGAAATTCAGATACCGCCCGCCAAATTACTTTTTGGTTTCCTTTCTTCAAATTGCTTTTAATCACTTATGCGTAAAATATGCATTACGTGAGTAGCATCAACTAAAAGAAGAGACTCTAAGCTTTCCAAATATGTATCATTCATTAATTATGGTTGTGATTAAGTTATGATAAAACATCGATACTTCTCGGTTTCGTTTTTTTTGGGACGCACTGTATACTAAGTCGTCTTAAATCATACAACTATCCAAGACCGAGATAAGGAGCCTTTGTACAATATGAAATATATTCTAAATATATGACATAAACGCCATCAAGTGATAATTCTTGAAATTGTCCCCTTGGCAAAATCGAAGAAAACAATACCTCATGGAAAAGCTATTGAAGGGAGAAAATGGAAAACCTTTGGGATGTAATTGTAGATATTTACCGAAAAGAACACGAAATTGTTAGAAGCCATAAGCAACCTGAAAAGCACAAAAGATATTCCTTAATAGAATACCAAATATTAAATAAAATCATTCAATTATCCACGAAGGGTTAAGAAATATTAAATACCAACAATATTAGTTGAATAGATATATGCCATTTCCCCTCATTATTGTGTTGGCATGAGAGACGATATAATAACAAACATGTGTAATATGTAGGTATGTAAAATCAATGAATGTCTTCCATTAGACTAACTTAACTGAAAGTCCTTTTGCCATTTTGTCTTTCTGTCTCTTACACACACACGTACACACATACTTCATTACAAAATATGCAATGAACTGATATTGAAACAATCAGAGAGGAAGGCCACGATGAAGGTACGTGCGTAACGTCTGATACACATTTATATTGTCTTTCATTAAATTTTTGAAACATGAGTTTGCCAATCATTTCGAAGACGTTGTCAAAAAAACAATCGCGAAGGTCTCTTATTTGTCGCTGGCTTTACAAATGGACTTGAGTTCAGAATTTCTAAATTTAAAGGGAATGGACTGAGGTATGAAAATTTGAGCTCGGCATTTGATTATTTATTATATAGTTCAGAAACATCTCGATGTCGTCATAATGACGCGACCCGAATTGGCGCTCGCACAGAATGCCAGTGATTTCGATAAGTATACATATGTATATGCGTCAAACATGATGATGATGACTTCTTGTATAGCGAAGATATCCGTCTTTTCTAGGAGATATTGTCGTTTGCTCCAAATAGTTTCACCCATCAAACTTTCTTACTTAGTGTGTACAATTGAGATTAAACACATTTTCCATAGTAGTTCTTAGCATTCATATACAAGTATACTCCTTTTCCAATTCACAGTTGAGCCTGACGGGAAAGGTTACTACAAGCAGACGATGAAGCAAGCCATCCCTTCTCAAGAGCAGCTGGATGAAAAAGAGGTTTCTGAAAAATATATCCTTACATTGTATGAAACTAAATTGAACAAATATAATTTATAACGTTAAAATTCACTCTGTTTTACGAAAATGTAATAACCATAATTGAATGTAGTCATGAATTAAAAAGTTCATTTCATAATGACCAATGAGATTGATTTTTTTTTATTTACAGAATGGTGGCAACTGTTAAAGCCCCACTGCAATATTTATAGCTACTTGCACCCTCTGTATAGCAAACAATACCTAATTGGTGCCTGTTGGTCCCCATGATCCCTTTTTTCTTATGTTAATTCGGAGCTGATTTGATTAGATAACGACCTGTCAGTGACCTTGCCGGGAAGTGTAATCCCCCCTGACCAAACTAGTACAGATGGGCTTTAAGCGACTAAGTGCACAATAGGCGTCTCATGAATCAGTGACCCATCCAAGCGTGCTTAGTCGAGGTTTAAACGGGAACTATTGTTAGTGTGATTTGATCAGCCTTGGACTTGTTAGAATCCCTAGAAACTTTGTAGCAATTATAACAACACCATTCGCTGAAAATCGATCCAAGTAAAATGAAATTAGTTGAACATAAATTTTCATATATGTATAATAGTGATAGATACATTTAAAAATATTTCTCCCAAATTCAGAATTACAAAATGGATGTTTCCACAAAGGGTCACATGTTCATTTTAAACATGAGTAAAGACAGAACGGGATCAGAAGTTGACGTTCGAAATATTGTGCACGTGTTCGGGGAAATAGGTTTCGAGATTGAAACCCATTCGGATTTGACTGCTGAGGTAAGAGCGTGCATGTTGTTCAGTGGCGGATCCAGGGGGGGGGGGGCACAGGGGGCACGTGCCTCTCGGCCCAAAAAAGTGTTGAAATCAGCCCAAAGTTCGCCAAAAATGTACAAAAAACAGGGACGTGCCCCCCCCCCCCCCCACTGAGCGAATTTGCGGTCCAACTATATAGGCAATAATGGAAATTTATCAAATATATTCAATGGTTAGGCTTTGTCCTGCATAAATCGATTGGTTTATTAAAAAAATGTAAGTAAATAACATTTTCGAGTAGATAGACTCTGCGTTTGAGGTTAGACAGGTCGAATTTTGACTTTAAACTATTTAGCACTAGATAAAATAAGTACCTAACTCACAGCGCCAAAAATATGCTCATGATCCAATTCTTTATTTTATAACCACAGTGACAATACTTAATATTTATGTATGTCATTTTATAAAAAAAATGTTTCAAGGTCTGTGTCCTTTCTGCTCTGTTTCGTTCAAACCTGTTATTTATAATATTAATGATACACATAGCCGTGACAAACCCACATTGATAAAATATATGAATACATTCAAATAAATCATATATGAATACATTCAAATAAATCATATATGAATACATTCAAATAAATCATATATGAATAAATTTAAATAAATCATATATGAATAAATTCAAATAAATCATATATGTATATATGTATATACCGTACATATGTGTGTGTGTATATAATAAGTGGTTAGGATGTTGGGAATGTTGGTGCTGGTGCGTGTTTGTAGGTCAGAAAGTATTTAGCATTAGGCTGTTTTGATTAATTTTAAACTACCATGACTACCGCTTTTTCATTTTCTTCATGATGATTATGCAGCAACTTAAAGAAAAGCTAGGGATGTTCATGAAGTCTCCTTGCCATAACGGCATGTGCTCTGCTGTGTTCATGCTCATGGGACATGGCAACGAGACAGGGATTGAATGCAAGCATAAACAAATAGTATCTTTGGAGATCATCATGAAACAGATTCGTGGGATAAATTCCATGATTGGAAAGCCCAAGATGATTTTCTTCCAATGTTGCCGTGGAGGTAGGTTTCCTAGTCTTTAGCTTTATTTATATTCTAGCACAAGTTCCCCCCCCCCTCTCTCTCTCTCTCTTTCTCTCTTTCTCTTACTAGGTGCAAATATTTATCAAATCATACGATCATGGCATTTGTACAACGTTTTGTTTCTATAACCTTTACCAGGAGCTTCATTTCCGGGTCTTTCAATTATCTCTCCGCAAGCAAATTTTATAGACTATCTAGCCATACCACTCTTCTTCTTCTCCTTTTTCTTTTTCGAGCCCTATTTCAATTGATTTTTCCTGTCAGGGCAAGGGTCTCCGAGCCTCGTTTCCGTATCAAGTGTCCCATCAATCTCATCTTCCGAATCCGTGCCTCACATATAATTTTTGTTTAAAAAGGCCTACTAATTCGTATCCAATTCCGTAAGCATATACATATCATCGCTAATAATCATGGGTTCTTTTTACTTCAACACTATAACGACATGGATTTACATGAGAGGTTCATGATGAAACAGAGAGGTTTTAAAGGCCAGTAGTGTATTCTTTATTCGAAAACCTCGTTAAAATAAAGAAGACATTTATGTGTTGTGCTAAATAAACGGACCCTGTTCAAATAATTGTTTGTGCCGATTTCCCACCCGTCCTCATCCATCAAACGGGATTTTTTTTGTTGTTGTGTGTGTGTAGAGCAACAAAAAATGATGTATTACCAGGGTGCTGGTTCCCATTATCAATAGGGACTTTTAGATTTGCGTGGACTAATACGTGTGACGTCCATTCACGGCAGTGCATTAACAGGACGTCGATCGTAGCATAGACCTATTGTCTTCGTGCGAATCTAAAAGTCCCTAATATCAGTCCATAAGCTACGCAGCCCGCGTGTGCATGCAATAACACATACCGCTGTCTTTTCAGTTTTTTTTTTTTCTTCTAACGGGTAAATGCATGGCAACTGCGCGCAACAAAGAATCTGCACGTTTTCATTGAGATCTGGGTTATAAGATACAGAAATTTGAAAAGTGTTACCCTTTACGTCATCACTTTAAAAAATAACCGCCGTGGTATTTCAGCGTCATAAAGTGAACGAGCCCTCAGCGTTAAAAAAGTGTGTAACTTATGGTACCGCCATCATATGTGAATCATCTTCAAATGATCGCAAACATTCGTAGTCTTTCCATCATAAGATTTTTCCCTATTCCTTTGTTATACCTACACAGAAGGCACAGGAAAAATGGAAGAAACGGATCAGGTTGAGACCGATGAGGCAATAGCAGCCAAATCCGACGTTCTCATGGTCCATGCTACAACATACGGTAAGATTTTGATGATAATATTAAAAAAATAAAAAAGACCATAATGAAAATGATAATCATAGTATTATGATAAAAATAGAAATACAAAAAATGATAATAATAATATTAACAATAATTATAGTAACAATAATAATATAATGATTATGAAAAAGAAATAGTAGTAGTAGTAGTAGTAGTAGTAATTGTAGTTGTTGTTATCGTTTTACTAGTAGTAGTGGTATTTTCTAATTTTGTCATTACATATAATGTTGTTATTATTAAAACAAAAGATAAGGAAAGTATTTGGCATCTGTAAACAGAACGTTAACATTCAGGTCAGCCTTGTGATTCCGTTCCGCTTATGCATTTATCTGGAAAAGGAAAGTAGTTAAGGGTTTCTTTATACGTGCCTTACACCAACACGCACAATATCATAAACAGCTAAAAACTTCTACTGATTTTTGCAGGAAACAAAGCCTATAGAGACAGAGGCAAGGGTTCGTGGTTCATTCAGAAGCTATGTGAGGAACTCCTTGCGAATGCACATGCCAGTGATTTGTCTACCATGTTAGATCGGGTAAGCTTGTTCAAGTAGTGGAGTAAACGGGTAATGGACCAAGTCAAACGCAAACACACGCACACACGACCGCACACATGCATGCATGTGCCCATGCCCTGAGCCATACAGAAGATTTTTTTTTTAATCGTCTGTACGGCCGTGCATTATAGCTCAAGACATGGGCACAAAGAAGATTTTTTTTTTCTGTTGGGGACCGGGAGGAAAATTCAATTAATTATTGATAATTTATTGCATTTTCTTATTATTTTGTTATTTGTGGGAACTGCCCCCTACCCTAGCCCCCGCTGCGTATAGTCATGGTTCAGTGGCAAAGCAATGGCCTCGTAACTGTGAGGCCCCAACAACAACACCGTGTCGATGTGCTATATTAGTGCCCTTTTGTGGGGCATTGATCCTCATTACTGTCATTTATGACTTAAGGGCGTCTATTATCTAGATCTATTAGGAATAAATCATTGTCAAAATAATTCCATAAATTGGGGTAAAAAAAATATTCCAACTATATGAGCGACAGTGTAAATATATTCGCCTTCTTGTAATAATAGTTGTTAACTCATAGCATGCCATGACGCTGCAGGCACGCTACCGTTATAGTGCTTTGTACATGCGAGCAAACCATTGCTACGCTGCCATGTGCGTGAAAGGGCGCAAACGTAATAGCAGTTATTGTTCATGCTTATTGGACTGTGCTGTGTGTTTCGCACGCGCTATTGATAGAGCCATCGCGTTAATCAGATTATCTCCAAAACAACCTGGCACGGGGGATTAGGGGCTTTGCACAATAGGGATTGGCCTTGTGGCATGATTCAAACAATTTCAATATAACTTAATTTTTAACATGTATTAAATCTCCTTTTTGTGTAATTATGATTTGAAAAGAATTGTTTTTTACTATACTGTTTGTCATCATATGAAATATGGAAAACAATAAATTCAACTGGACTGAACTGATTAAAGTGGTGGTACAAGTTCGTAAGCAAGCCCTGTTGACAGGACTGATCTACTATTTGGGTTATACCCGATAATCAACATTGGTTCTGTTTGAATTATGTTTAGAATGAATTTAATTATTTTAATTGACTGATATATTTTGATTTATGATAAACATGCACTAATCATCCGCTTTCATAAAGTTCACCGATTCTTTTTTGTTTCTTCTCCAGGTAACGGAACAAGTTGGGAAGATGGGCTCTAAAAATAAAGGTCAATGTGTAGTGGTCACTAAACAAGGGATCAGGAAGAAGATATATTTTCTTCCTAAATACCCCCAGCAAAGAATGCAGATTCCAGCAGAAGAGTGTTGAATAAGGAAGGAATGTTTCACTTTTAAATTTTCTTGTTTGTATAAAAGCATGACATTTGGCATGTAGAAAGAGTTTTGATACTGCGTCCCTTTGTTGTTTAATACGGTGCCGCAAGATATTTTTTTTATTCGTAACCAATGGCATGAAATAATATTGTAGATTTAAATTGTGTCAAATTTGGGCAAGTCCTTTAGGTGCCCATTTATATCAATATTTTGTACATAAAAATATAATGAAAATACTGAACAGTAATAATGATAACGATAATAAATACTTAAAAGGCGCACCTATCTACTAACTTACTCAAGGCGCTATACAAAAAAAAATACATGAAATACACAAATCTCCCTCTAAAATTTTAACAGCATAATATCTTTAGCAACTCTGAGTAAATAAAACCGTTTTAACATGTTTCTGAAAGGTTTCTAGGCATTGAATGTTTCGAATAGCACTTGGGAGCTTGTTCCAGAAGACTGGTGCAAAATGCACAAATTCACGGCAACGAGTATTTTTATTTTCATTCTCGTCGGTCAAACTTGAAATATTTTAAATCAACTCAAGATGTGGCACAGAAGATCCAAATATCCCCCAAACTAAATAAAAAAAAAGAGAAAATGTCCACAATTTATGTATTTCCCTTGTATAGGGTTTATTTTAAAAATATTTTTTTTAAAGAAATGCACATTCAAAATTGCATCCAATTTGAATTCCTGCAGAATTGTTAAACAGGCTTTTGCATCGGATATTGTTTGCGTTTTTGCATTAAACATCGAAGGTGGTAGTAAAGAGTTAACATGCTGAAGGAGTATGGCTGTACTGTATCTTCTTTGATCGTTGCTTCCGATATCGCATTTCATTCGAATGTTAAAATATTAGGATGTTAAGGATGTACCTTCAACGCATTGTTTTTTTTAATATAGCCGAGGAGGTAAAAAACAAGAAAATGCTGTGCTAAGATATGTATTTGTTTGGAATATGATTATTGCATACTTTAGAATAAAAACATATACAAAATAAGTTTTTTGATATGCTTCATCATGATAATCAGGTATTTCGTTCATCTATAGTTCTACAGTGAGAAATATTATATTTTACACTGACCTGTGTTGTAACCTAAGATGTATAGCATACAGATTTCTATCTTTATACTAAGATATAATCATCAATACTCAGTGTAAACTTTTCAAGCAAATAGCCACATCTCAAATCAGACCGAGGCCATTTATTATGTGACGACCGTCTTCAAATATTATGAAGCATTATGTAATCTCCAAAAGAGTTACATTTAAGCCGTAAACAATTTGACCTCGTTGAGAATCTTGATGATAAGCAAATGGAATTAATGAATATAAAATACAATTGTTATTCCGTCTGCCATCGCATGGGCTATCACAACGTGAGCTTGTCATATAAAGTCGATTTCTAAATTGTGGTCTACAATTCAGAAAGTGAAATGAAAGATTAGAAAAGCTTATCTTCAACCGATAATTTCTTTTGGGCCTTTGGGCCCTTTATTTGTTGTCATATTGGGCACCTTTGTAACACATTTTGTTGATTTCAAGTACATGTTGTTTGACTGATCATGATTGGAACCATGTTAATCAAATTCATCAAATCAGTGTGTATCTGATATTTGAATAGGCCCTTTATTTACAAAAGAATGCCCAACCAAAGTGCTGGTTCGAATTCGTTGAGGTCCTGAAATGTTGTATAATAAGTAACATATTAAAACGAAAATAAAAAGTAAACTAGATTTGATGAACAAGGAAGGCTAAATACCCGATAGTACCTTTATTTTAGTGGCATAACGGCCCCAAGGTCAAGCTTCATGTCCTGAATAATTCAGTATCAAAACATTTATCTGCATGCCAGATTGAAAGTTTTCATCAAAAAAGTGCAAAGCAATATTAATTAACCATTTCGCCTGACTCGACTGTGCACAGAATTCCGAAAACAGAGGTCACTGCACCGATATTTTGATTGATTGGTCCATAATCTGATCAATATAACCATAACGCTTGGTGTAAAGCTCGTGAGAGATAGAGTAGTAAAGAGTAATTAGGAATGGAACATTGTAAACTATGTTTGTTGTTATAGTTTTATTCGGTACCACGTAACAAAGAGAAATCATTACAGGCCAAAATTGGTAATAATTGGGAAGAGTGGCTTTGGTTGGATGGAGATAAAATTGAATGGTCTGTTATACACACGAATAATTTCAAATGCACTATAGAAACGCAGTTAACGTCTTTTTTATTGTAAAATGTTTCAGAATGCCATAGCCCTAAACTCATGTTTATATAAGATTGGAAGAAGGTATAGTCTTTTGTGTTATTTCTGTCAGGAGCTTCCTAAAACCTTGATTAATTTGTTTTGGAAATGCACAGTAATTGCTCCAAGGTGGAAAAAGCTTGCAGATGATATTGATAATATGACGAAGGAGACAACATTGTACTTTAAGTTTTCTCATATATTTGGTATTGATATTGGTGGCAGGCATGATGTATGTATTAATTTGTTAATCCTGTGCCTCAAATTTTATATCATTCGCTGTAAATTTCATGAGGTAAAAATAAGTTTCAAGAGTTTCGTTTTTTTCCTCGAAAATGAAACAGAATTTTGAATATAAAATCAAGAGCAGAGAAGAAAGGTAAATTGAGCTCCCACTTTAGAAAATGATCGCTGTCTTTCTTGTAGAATTTCGATCTTCTGGCATTTAATAAATATATACTTCCTTATTGTCAATCAGGTTTTTCTATTGTTAATATTACTGTATTTCAGTGGATCATCTCCTTGACGAGTCGATTCCCGGTTTTCTTATATGATATGTAACCTTGATGCATGTCAGGGTGAGCCTTAACTGACTAGAGTGAGGCATTGTTTAAGGGTTGTGCTGTTTTATATTGTGTTATTTTATATTTTACCTTGTTCTGTATACATCCATTTACTGTATTATGTTATGTCGTTGAGTTTCTTTTCAATTAAAAAAAAAAAAAGTGAAACGCATCTCACGCTTATGTTCATCCAGGGATAACTCACATATCCCTAGTTCATCCCTATCGTATCTTGATATTCATATAGCGTAAAGACTAACGAAGTTAGTTTTTGTTTTTGATGTTGTTTGTTTTTATTAATAGAAATCGGTTTTAAATTGTAATAATCTTAGATGATTCACAATAAAATCGCTTGCTGTGGGTTGTCGTTTACATGTTCTAATATATGCTGTAAAATATATGCCTGTACATTTACTCCATACTATTGTTTACTCATTCTTATCTCGTTATCATACTCAAACTAGATAATGTTATAAACCTTACTGATAGGAAGAAATAAATAAATGTTATAGTACATGAAGCTCATCCTACGCTCTCTTTCTCTACTCTCTAGTGCTCGAATTATATAATAAATATCATGAATAATGTATAGTATATATCTCTTTTTTTCCCCCTCTCTCTATCCATCTTCCTATCCACCTATAAATCTATTTATATCTATCTACCTACATACCGTTGTCTTTTCCTCTCTCGTTCACCCCTCCCTCTATTTTTGTTTCTCCCTTTCTCTTTGAGCAGTAACATTTTTCATTTTTATTATATCTTTATTGGCTCATTCTAGTGTATGTGTATTCTGTTTTTTTTTTTGTATATTAAGTCAGTAGTTGAAACTTCACATAACAACCCCAACTTTACAGTAGGTTCACTTGTTTATGTTGATGATTTACAGAACAATCTTTCCTGTCGGTGATAACTGTGATTCAGGATTTATGATTACATATACTTAAATAAATGTTTTGTAAAATGTATTATGCTTTGATAATTTTGTAAGGAATATGAATGAAAGCAACCAGTCAATCAATTGATCCGATACCTCATTATTTGTTCGCTTTCTCTATTTCAGATGTTTACATACAACACTAATCATATTATTGTATTTGTCCCATCCCAGGTGCCGTTATCACACACTAGTCCATTAAAATAGAAAAGTTTTTAAATAGTTCCCGCTTTTTGTGTGTGTGTGAAAACCAACAGATCTCCGTGTTTAGTTTTAATGCACTTTGGTTAGATTTCATATTTACTACTGTCATTAGAAAGGAAAAAAGTAATGAATTCCTTATAAGACGCTAATATTATCTAACGAGTTCATAACCGATATCATTTTATTTGGTATTCTTCGTGTGAAATGGAAATGGCGATATTATTTCATTTTGTTACTCGGCCGTATTAAAGACGTTCTTCAGTTATGACCTCCTCCATAAAAAGTCATATCGTGCTCGTGGGATGTTAGCCTCGAGACTGTTGCCAGATTTACATCGTTAATTTAAAGAAGATGTGTGGTGTGAAAGTGTCTGATAGAAAGAACACAAATGAGGTAACGCAAAGGTTTGGTCTGGAAGAAACTGTGGTGGAAGTGGTCAAGAGATGTAAACTGTGTTGGAAAGGGAAGATAATGAACCCGTAAAAAGAGCATGGGATCTGAAAGAGGATACATGGGAAGGAAGACCCGAGGTCTCATGGAGAGAAATGAGGAGGATGTTCCAGTTAAGAAGAAGTGGATGGTGGGAACAAATTAACAACAGTATCTAAAGTGAAAAATGTCCTTCACTCATGCAAATGTGGATATACTAGTATTGTACAATAATTTTAGGAACTTTATTGCAAATTAATGTTAAATTTCTGGTGTTTGTGCGGACTATAGAAATATATTAATCAAAATTGCCTTCTATTGGAGGAAAATTTAGAGAAATGAATCAACTTACATTTTAAATGATTGCGTACAATGAGAAATATTACAAAAAGGAAATACACTTTTTGAAATGTTATTGTTATTTGTGAAGCAATTACTTTAAAATTGTAACCTCGTTACTTTCATCGCCAAACCCTTATTTCCTCTTCAAACGACAAACAAGTTTTCTCCCTTTTCTAACATAATATAATTATTATCATCATATTATTGAAGCAAAGAGGGCGTTGTGTATCTGTTTGATCTTATACATTTGGAACAATTTATTATATACAGTGCGTCCCAGAAAAAACGAAACCGAGAAGTATCGATGTTTTATCATAACTTAATCACAACCATAATTAATGAATGATACATATTTGGAAAGCTTAGAGTCTCCTCTTTCAGTTGCCGTAGCAAAAAGCAGATTTGACAAAAGACTTAACTCCGTTTCGTTGACAATCAGCCGTAGACGAGAGTCTTCATGCATGGCTGATTGTCAACGAAACGGAGTTAAGTCTTTTGTCAAATCTGCTTTTTGCTACGGCAGGCACCCAGTGAAAACGAATTCGTTTGTTAAAATTATGAAAATGTAAGGGCTACTTTAAACAAACAGAACTTTGTCATTCCTCGCTCATTTTTCCTGATTGAGGTGTCATATGAAAGGGCAGAAACTAAACTTTCTAGAAATGTGAATTTTTCTTCGAAATTCAGATACCGCCCGCCAAATGTCTTTTTGGTTTCCTTCCTTCAAATTGCTTTTAATCACTCATGCGTAAGATATGCATTATCTGAGTAGCATCACATAAAAGAAGAGACTCTAAGCTTTCCAAATATGGATCATTCATTAATTATAGTTGTGATTAAGTTATGATAGAACATCGATACTTCTCGGTTTCGTTTTTTCTGGGACGCACTGTATATAATGACCTTTGACCAAATAGTTCTTTCATTTGTCATTCCACAATTCAATTATTTTAAATTAATTTCAGCGCAGCCAGCCGAATAACAATACTCTTGAAAGGCTTTGAATACACATTGTGGCCTGAATGGTGAACAATAGATATTCAAAGCTGCGAAAATATTTGCCCAGCGGCTGAGAAAACATGAACACATAAAACACTGTTGTGTTTAACCCGTTGACTACTGAATTGTATAGGTCCCATAGGCTTAACACAGAACCACCATCCTCCCGTAAACAAAGGGTTAACAATGGTAAATGAACATTGCTCATTGTATTGCGTTTCGTTGTAGAAGAGTGAAAGACGTATCGGCTGCTCAAATATTGTTTTGCCAGATACTAAAAAGGATGGATATACAAATAAATTCCGCTTTTTTCAATACTTTGCTAGAGGTTTATATTCTAATGTATTTCAATACATTTGTGTAAACGCCAAATTATATAGGGCTAGTTGTTAGCCAGTAAATGAAATTAGATCTTCCGATTGGCATGTACAAATCTTGCTTTTAAATTTAGTTTCATTGTAATAGAAAAAGACGTACACAATTAATATAATGGGAGGAAGCTATCAAACTACGAAAATAGTATCTAAAACTGAAAATATTAACATTACAAACTGAGGGCTAGGTTTCAGTTATCAATTGAATGTTTCAACATAGGACTCCAGTATTCATAACAACTAGTTGACATGAAATAAGAACAAGTTATAGAAACATCCAAATACAAATCATACTGACATTACAAAATTAATGACGTAAATAATGTTTTAAGTCTGGCGAATTTCGGCTTATAACAAAGGCGTTTGTTTAGCTTGATTTCGGTGTAATGCATTTGAAGTTTGTTATAAAATAAAATAATTCAATCATTAAAAGAAAGGACAAATCCCAAACCGGGTCAACTTTGATTTCTTCTTCATTTCTTAATGATAATAGATCGTATTCAGTCAGCACGGCCAACCCGTACTATTTGAGTTACCGAAGATAAGCCCTCATTTATGACATGGATGTTATTGCTAAAGCAATTCTAATACCAAGTCCAAAATATCATGAAAGGAGAAATAT